AAATGCCGAATTGATAGAATAGAAAATGGTTCAAAACATTCTTTCAAGTAGGACAACCTTGTTCGAACAATCCAGGTACGAACAGTCCCTGACTGGTCCGGATCCTCCCTTTTTCAAAAGCATGAGTTCATTTTAATTATGCACATTAAATTAGTCAATAATTCCAAAACCTCTTCGAATACCTGAAAATCAATCAAGAGCTCTTTGGTGAAGATATTGGCCAATTGATTTTCCGTGTTAATAAATTCTAACGTGATATCTCCCTTTGGTGCATAATCTCTAAGAAAGCAATGTCTAATTTCGATATGTTTTTTTCAAGAGTGCAAGATGAGATTCCTGGACAAGTTAATGGCATTAGTTTGATAACACATAATAGGAATATGATCGTAAGATAGGTGATAATTACTAAGGGTTTGTTTCATCCATAACACTTTGGGCACAACTACTCGAGCCAAGAAATACTCGGCCTCAGTGGTAGATAATGCTACGAAATTTGTTTCTTACTATGCCATGATACTAGTGTAAAACCTAGAAAATGACACGCGTCGTTAGTGCTTTTACGATCAATTTGGCAACTGGTCTAATTGGCATCCAAATAGCTAAGTACGTCAATGTGATGCCAAAGTCCTAAGGTCGGAGTTCTACTACGATATCTAAAGATTCTTTTTACGACTTTAAGATGAGATTCCTTAGGGTTTGATTGAAATCTAGCACATAAGCATACACTAAAATTAATATCGGGTCTACTTGTCGTTAAATAAAGAAGTCGCACAATCATTCCTCGATATTTAGTTTCGTCAACGAGAGTACCTTGATCATTTTTGTCAAGCTTTACGAATGTGCTCATCGGAGTGTTCATTGGCTTTAGGTCATCCATTTCGATCCCCTTGCGCATGTCTAATATATTCTTATTTTGATTTATGAATATTCATTTACTTGTTTGTTTAATTTGAAGGCCAAGAAAGAAACTTAAGTTCTCCCATCATACTCATTTCAAATTTCATGCACGTGCACTTTGAAAATTCGTCATAAACAGACCCACTGAAACGCGTATGAGTTCGGGAAAGAGATCCCCTGAATATTGGGTAGCTGTTGTTAAACCAAGTTGAATACTAAAGGAGTAACCGAAAATATATCTAGAAAGGCTATTCCAGTAGCAACATCCAAAATGCCTATACGAACTCAATTCATTATTTTAGGATAAATATGTAAAACCAACAAAAATGAATCATTAGCTGCACCAAAAATAATGTCATCAACGAACGATAAGCAAGTTTTCCTTATGAGATTTAAAAAATTGGAGTGACCGCTTTTCCAATCTTGAAGCCAATTTGAGAGTAGAAATTTGCTCAAACATTTACAATAATGCTATGGGGTGTCCAAAATGCTGAGGTTGGCATTTTTTCACCCAATTTCTCGCCACAAGTGGGAACAAGACCAAACAATAAAAAATGCTGAAAAAAATGTGCAAAACCCAACAAATTCAAATTGAAATTAGCCCAACCGTATAGACATTTCCTTTTCATTTTCATTCACTCGTTCCCGACAAATACGCTTCTTCATTGAAGGCGACCCCATTCCCAGCAACTCCAGTATATTCAACGTAGTCCAAAATTGTGAATTCCCCTTTCATTTTCATTCCCAGTTACCACATTGAACCATCCCCGCTCTCGGAAGAGGCGATTGATGCCAAAGTCGATAATGTTCCCGGAGACGACGACACCTTCAACGCAGTCATAACCCATGTAATGGAAGGGTTTCCAGAGCAATTTATTCCATCCCCTAATGTGGTAGCTGATCGAGTTGAAGGCAACATCGGTGGATTTGCAGATACCACAGGCTCTAATGGTAAATTACCTTTTTCCTCTCCATTCGAAATCTCATGGTTTACCAGTTAGTTAACCATGTATTGAAGGAGGGTCAGTTTCGGACAACATGGTTGCTGAGATTACCGACCACGGTATGCTTTGTTCATTCGTGAAATTTGCAGTTATACGTTTGTCACATACCTAACAACAATAAATGGCCATTTTACAATATAGGAATTGTCTTGTTTAAAATATCCAATGACTTGTTGAATGACTGTTTTGATAAAAAAAAATAAAAAAAAAACTTGGAATGTAGCATAGTTGCATATCACTGCATTGACTTTATTAAAATAGTTGTTTCTGCAATCTTTCACCTCATAATGTGGAACCTCATTGTTGCAAGAGTGGATGATGACATTCTTGAAGGAGTGGATGTGAAGTCATCAAATATTGTGGGTGACGACGGTTTGGCCTAGGAAATGGTAGGTGTTGAAAATGAGATAATCGTGCCTATAGTTGGTATGAAATTTGAGAATGAAAATGAGGTATTCGAATTTTACAAGAGATACGCTTATCAAGTAGGATTTCTTGTTAGAAAACGAAATACAAAGAGGGGAGATGATGAGTCAGTACGGTATGTGAGTTTTACCTATAGTCGAGAAGGACGACGAAATTGTAACAAAAGTACATCATTGAATCCTTCACCAACAATTCAAACTGGGTGTAAAGCCAAATTGACTGGGTGTTCTGATGCATGTGGAATACTTCAAATAAACGTGGTACATTTAGAGCATAACCATAAAACAAGCCCATCTAAGTACAGGTTGAATAGATGTAATAGGCAACTTAGTGAACATGTCAAAAGACGGCTTGAGGTAAATGACATAGCAGGCATACCATTGCATAAAAGCTTTAATTCAACTATAGTGGAGACAGGTGGTTTTGATAATATGACATGTGTTGAGAAAGATTACAGAAACTTCATCGAGAAAGTGCGACGTTTAAGACTAGGGGAAGGGAATGCCCTTGCAATTCAAGCTTACTTAGCGAAAATGCAGTCACGTAGTCTTGGTTTTTTCTTTAGTATGGACTTAGATGATGATTGTCGATTGAGAAATGTGTCTTGGGTAGAAAACAGATGTCGTGAAGCAATCACCATGTAATACTCTGAAATTTTATGCTCGTTTAAATTTCCGTAGGATAGTGATTTAACTTTCAATATTATTTTTGGCCATAAGGAAAAGGGGACACTACCTTTGTAGTGGTTAATGCTAGAGGTAGCTAATGAATGCAAGCATGAAGTGCTAAATATTGTGTATACATGAAGTGGTTAATAGTTAGTAGAAACTTAAGGCAAGTTTGGATTTAAATGAAGTGGATTATTTTGTTAGGGCTTCAATTGACCAAATGATTAAATTATGTTACAATCTACAATTTTTGAATATGTAAGTTGGGTACAAGTTTAAATTTGGGGTACACTATGTTAACAATGAAAGTTAGCGGGTTTAGATTATATTAGTTGAAAAGATGAGAGGTTTCCTTTGTAAATCTAGGTTTTAAGGCCACTTATTACCCTATTATCAATCCACTTGTCCTCCATCATCACCATACACTTAGATAGTAGACCAAACATGTGTACAAGTAAAGAAAAAAAAAAGAAAAAAAAGAAAAATGGGAAAAAGGAGGTTGAGGCGGTGGGAGAGAAAAAAGGAAAAAAATA